AAGGTTACTTAAAGTGACAATATAGAGGGCCAATGGTTATTTAAGTCCCCCAACCTATAGGACCTCCATGAATAATTTTGCAAGACACAATTAATAAACAGTTATATCCATGAGTTTTTTTTTTTTTAAAAAAGGAAATAGGGTTCATTTAACAAATAATATACTTTTAAAAACTAATATGGATTTGTAAAATAGATTTACATAAAACAATTTATGGTAGCTCAAAATATAATATAACTCATCTCAAACTTGATCCTTTACTCTTACTTCCGATTTCGGCTCACTCTCTCAGATTTCCCTCGTTGTTATTCTTGTGATTTCATTACCATGCAAATCACTTATTTATAGGTGAGAAGACCCTTACTATGCCGTACTGTGCAGCACTGCACTATGTAGCATTGTATAGCCATGTGGTTTCTTGAACCAATTTGCACCAATTTCTTCATATTTCCACTATGGCCCAATAAATATTATATTTACATTATCATTTTTTGATAAAACATAATGATCCCTAATTTCAACTTATATTTTAGTGCTGTAAACACCCCATTTTTGACGGCCCTTACGACTTGGACACCATTGCATGCACACCCGATGATGAGTTTATATGCTCGTCAAGTGCTCGAAGTCCTCAGCGGAATGCCACAACTTTGAGCCTTTTAAACCCTATACCTCTGTTGCCTCATTCTTGGACCAGGCCTTGGTCCTTCAAGCCTGCACCTTTTGGTGGCCTGCCGGCCACCTTTTGATTCTGCCGACCATCACTTTTGTACTGCCGGCCACCAGTGCTGGCCGATCAGCCGGCCACTAGTTTCTTTTGTAGATATTTTGTAACAGCTATGCCAGTTGTTTGCACAGATGCATCCATCTGCACCCACGTGTATGGCAGGATATCCTTGTAGGGAATTTGTGTTTTCTATATATAGAAGACCCCTCTCTTATGTTTGAGGTTAGAAAATTTTGAGAGCAAATTTTTTCCTTTCTTTAGCAAATCTCTACATTTTTGCCTATACGCCCTTAACCAAACCTTCTCATCTTTGAGCTGAGGCACTTTTGTGCTTGGTTTGAGCTTTTAAAGGGTGTGTTGTTTTTGTTTTTTGCTTAAATTACTTCTTCACTACAAGAGATATAAGGCTTTGTCCCTTTAATTGCTTTTTCTGCTATTATACTTGCTATTTTCTAACTGATTTTGGGCTGTAAAACTTTAGTATTTTTGGGTTGAAGCTTCAGTTTTAAGACCATTAAAGGTTGAGGGGTGTTCCATCATTCTTTGTACCTTGTTTTGGAGGCCTTTGCCCTTGTGTTTTCCACTCTGCATCATCTGTTTTTGAGCTTTCAAACACTGATTTTCAAAGCTTTTTCAGTAGCCAAAATTATGTTTTGAAGTCCAAATTTGGAGGGGTTAGCCTCCCCCTCCTTGTGTCTTGCTTACTAAACTAGGTTGTGCCATGTTTTAGCATATTAATCTAGCTTTTGTTAGCTTAATTCCAGCATATTTTAGGACTTCTTTTAGACTATTTTAGCACTATTTTGGGCTGTTGCTTGCATTTGAGCTTTGTTTGGCATGCTTGTAGTGTAATAGTCCTCATGAGTTTGGTGTTCTAGGCCTTAGGCACCATCTTATTTGAGTAGCATTTATTTATGCTTTTCTCACTCATTTTCAGCACTAATATTCTTTGCAACCTCCCTCCTTTCTTGCCTTTTTGTTTTTCATTGAAAGTGGTTCAAACTACTTGTTTGTTTAAAGCATGAGATTAAGGTTGTCATACATAATGGTTTAATTCCTTTTAGGGGTTCATTACCAACGGTATGATATCTCTTTCATACCTAAGACAACTCTTGGTTTGAGCCCTCTTTCATTAGAGGACTTAAACTCACCATTGGACTCAATTGATTAAAGAATGATTGGTAATTTAAAATGGAGTAATTAAAATTGGGAATAAAATGATGAAAGATAATAATTTGGTTGTATTCAATCGGACGTTAATTGAACACATGGAACTTGGGCCATTTCATACTTACTAGTGATGAAATGATTCAACATCTCCAAGGTCATCACTTCCCTTGATCTTTCATGATAGGGAGGTGGTTCTTTGTGTCTCATTTTGTTACATTTATTGAACTTGCACACTTTGGTTCACAAGCCATCATGCAATGAAATTTCTCGAGTTGGTGGTTTGTGGCTTAAGCTCACTACTCCTTGGATTTGTTCATGAAAAGAAGGGGTGAGTTGTGCAAAAAAACCCTTGAAATACCCTGTACATTGCTCTGTTTGTTCTTTGTTGCAGTAAGGTGAACCCTGCAGCAGTGGCCGGCAGGTGGCCGACAGACCACCTTTGATGCTCGGCAACCCTCATCATTGGCCAGCCGGTCACTATTGCAAATTTCAGTAGCATGTTTGTAAGGCAGAGTAAAGTTATTCTGGAAGTGGGCAATAGTGCATGTGTTCTATTGCGCAACAGAGGCTCTCCGGAAGCAAAACAGGGGCTTTTCGAGTAGAAACCGAGCATGTGCATGAGCATCCTTCGCGTATCGAGCCTATTTAGTTTAAATATTTAGCTTAGCTATTCGTTGTAATTAATTAGTTATAGCTAATTAATTTTGTAAAGTGTTATAACTAATTAGTTAGTTAACTAGTCATTCAATTTCATTTTTTTTTCGTTTTGTAATTAGTTAGTAAACTAGAATAGTTGATTAATTAGTTTTAATAATTAGTAAAGTAGCTTATCTAATTTCATTTTTTTTTGTATTAACTAGCTTAGCTTTAATTAGTTAGTTAATTAGTTTATTCATTTGGACTCTCCTTCGTGAGAGCGCAATGTAATAATGTGTATGTCTTCCAACCCCAAGTCTTTCTCCATTTTATTTACTAAGCTTATGATGGTTAGTTTAGGGATGCCATGTTTTGTTTAGCATACTCCATGTTTGCATCCATTTGTATTGCATGCGCTGAGACTCGGCGCATCATTCTAACTGTATTGTTAGTTCAATACTTCTTTGAATACGTGCTTAGACTGCATACTATTTAATTGATTCATATGCCATGTTTAGTAGCCGAGCCTATTTGGATGCATATCACATGTGTTGCATTAGTCATATTGCATAGGTAGGAATCATACATTTTTCTAACTAGTTTCTCTTTTGGCTTGGAGTATTAGGTGAGCCTTTACTTGCTTTAGCATATTGCATGCGTGTGATTGTTGCAATGTTTAGCATACTTGCCATGAGGCTGATTGCTTAAGTGATAAATTGCTTGAAATGCCTGTGGATAAAAGCTAATTGCTTGAATTGAAATAATTTGAGCAGTGTTTATATGCAATCATTTTTTCAAGTAGTACATATTCAAAACAATTTTCAAAAAAAAAAACATGAACTCGAGATGTTCCAATTCTTGTAAGTTAGTCTATACTTGTGCGTGTGCATCACATAGTAATGCTAGTCTAATAAATCAGAACAAGAGCATATAATGTAAATAAGATTCATATTAAGATTAGTAGAGGTCGATCTTTGATCGGGCGAGCGGGGGTGCTCAAATGCATTAATGTCCTTCCTCTCTCATACCTAAGTTCCCGAGCCGAGACAATCTTGGTGATGACGGACACGTGGCCTTTGGCACGAGTCATGTGTTTCCTAAATTTCTCCAAAATAAAATATTTAGGTGGCGACTTTGTATCTGGCAAAGCAGTCCATTTTTGGCAATTTGATTCAAAATTGATTTTCCAAAAAATTTGTTGGATTTAGACTCTTTGGTGTTTATTAATTTCACATTGCACTTGTGAAATTGGATTCAGAACCGCGGGAGTCCAATACTACAGGGCTTATTTCGAACTTCTGAAAGAGTGCGCGAAAAAGCCGAGCTACAGTTTCTGGCGACACCGTTGGGGAATTTAGAGGACTTGACTCGAACTTCATGATGTGACATTTTATCTACACTTATATGTTTCTTTGCATTGCATTTGCATTGGTGCGCCTAAGTCACTGGGTTTGCCATCTGTTATTTATGGACAGTTTGTCGGAGGCTTGCTTGAAAAGCTTGCCAAAAGGTTGACCAGTCACGGGCTCTGCCATGATAGGAACACAACCCTTGGATCTGGACTACTGCTGTACCATTTGATCCTCCTTTCACTTCTCGGTGTTAGATGTGAGAGGTATATTAGGTCATCTTACTGAGGCACCCTTTTTGATCATTTGGCCTAGTTACATATCGAAAGTCATAGAAACTGTTCCAAACTAGAACAGGATGCTTACCCGAATACAGGATTGTATGAAACCGCTTTGTTTGAATAGTGAACCCTAGTTTCGTTAGGAACTAGGACATGGTAACCCTACCCCCCTCAGAGGGGTGTTTTGGTTCTCACTTAACTGGTATGTGCTTTATAGTGAAATTGTACAGGAACATGTGTATCAGTTGCAAGTTGGGTATCAGTTTAGGGGGCATAATTCAGTATTGAGTGCAATCATACAGCTTTGATTACATCTGTGTGTTGTTAAACATCTGAGCTGAGGTATTGTGCGGTTTCTGATTACTGTTTTCTTTTTACTTTATTTCTTTTTGCTAGGTAGTATAACACCATAGCTTTGGATTGTTCGGATATCCCCCCAGCGCTCTGGACCCATGTCAGAAGGCTTTATATAGCCGGTGATCTTGTTAGGGGACAGCCAATGTTTACTTCTCTCCCCTTGGTTACTAGACGGAGGAGAGTAAGGCAGAGTTCACCGGTTGAAATTCTACAGCAATCGCCCCTCATTTCACCTGTATCTAGTTAGGCTCAGTCTTCTACATCTTGTCCAGTACGAGATCAGTCGCCCATTCCGATGGCATAGTATCCCCCAGTCAGCATGGGGGACTTGATTCACCACCTTTAACAAACAGTTGAAACCATGCAGCAAAACACTGTTCGTCAAGCCGAGGTCACAGCATGTCAGGCTGAGGTAATAAACAGGCTGCAACAATAACAACCACAGCCGGCAGCTGCTTCCGCATCTCATGCACCTCTTACGGGTATCCCAGCACTCGGAGCCACTGCCCATGTTGAGAATCAGGGCAATCCGGCAGAGCCGATCCCACCACAAGCCTCCAAAGCACCTGTGTATCAGACTGAGGATCCATTTGAGTTTGAGGTTGACCCGACTGTACTTAAAGTCAACAAACTAGAGAAGCTCTTCAAGAGAGCACAGGGTGTTAACTCTATCCCTGACATAGAAGACAGGTATACTGACTCTACAGTGACATTGCTAGACCGGTTCAAAATGCCGCACATCGATCGGTTCAATGGCTCTGGAGACCTCGTGGTTCATCTTCGGCTTTTTCAGACATTCTGCGACCAATGGGCCTCACTAGACTGTAGAAGCTCTCACTCTTTGGCCGGACCATGTCAGGAATAGCGGCTATATGGTATGTAAAGCTAGAGGATTCTGTGAAGCAGAGTTAGGAGGAAATAGATAAGGCCTTTGTTGAACAATAATCGTACAACACGCAAATTGAGGTCACAACTCGTGATCTCGAGGCAACGCGTCAGGAGCTGAAGGAGGGCTTTTTAGAATTCATGACAAGGTGGAGGGCCAAGGCTTCAATGATGACCACACGACCTTCAGAGAAAGATCAGATAAGGATGATAGTCGTCAATCTGCCTGGGAAATTGTTGCAGAAGATGATCATCCCACCTTTGTTCACATTCACTGAGCTCCATAAGATGGGTGTTCAAATTGAAGATGCCATGAAACAAGGCTTGATTACTGATGAAAAAGAGCAGGCCAAGAGGCCTTTTGTGCACAATTCCAATGCAACCATTAGTGGTAACACAGCTGTGTGGCCGTCTGATATGAGCGTTGTCACCACTATAACCAGGACCGCCAATCCCTTTGCCAACACAGCTCCACAAACTTCAAAAAACCCCGCCCGATCCCAAAGGATCTTTATCTCACTCTACATGCCTTTATCTCAAGCTATGAAGGTGTTGATCAAAAAATGACACCTCAAACCACTAGAGCCACGCCCACTACCCGATCCTCTTTCACCCAAACACAACCCAACCAAGTATTGTGCATTTCACCAGCAGCATGGTCATGACACCGACCAATGCTTCAGGCTGTGTCATGAGATTCAAGACCTCATTGACAACAAGGTGATTGTACCATCCCAAAAAGTAAATGTAACTACCAACCCTCTCCCAGCCCATAATCAAGTTCCCCCACCTCATAATCTAAATCTAATCCATACACTAGCCCTCCCTTATGATCCCAGCATATATATTACCCCTTTCCACCTACCCAGACCGATGGTGTTCATTCCTGAAAGCACAAATTTGTGTATGATAGACACGTCCACACTTCAACCTAAACCTGTGTTGGTGACAGTGGTAGAAGAAGGGAGGCTGGCCTTAGAGGAGAGTACAAGTCTGCTGCCTGAGTGCTCTGAGGACTTGTTTGAGGGGGAGCATGATCCAAGCTGCTACATTGTGCCGATTAATCAAGTCAAGCCAGAAGCGGTATTGTCGACTGCAGTGGAGGTCAATGTAGTTAGGGAGGATGGCCCGAGCCAAGGTTTGGATGATCTTGCGGAGCTAAAGGATGACTTAGACAACCTGTAGTTCTTTGATGAACAAGATCAAGGGGATGTGCAGATTGACTGGTTCGATTTGGATGGGTTAGCGGACAACTCTGGTTGGTTGAGTGATGAATCGGATAGAGATGAAGGAACTGAAACAAAACCAGAGAAAAAGAGAGCAAGAATTGCTGTAGTGGCTAGAATGGACGATGAAAATGGGAAATTGCCGGAGAACACCAGCATGAAAATTTTAGCTCAGGAACTAGGCACTGTGAGTACCATGGACATAGAATAGGAAGCTGTGTTGAAGCAGTTTGCACAACAGAGGGTTGAAGACAACCAGAGAGTTGTAATGGCCCAACAACCTGCGGGGGAGACTTGCGAAGTGAAAGTGATACAAATGGAGCCGGATAACTGCTTGTTAGCTGCCAGAGGTGTATGGTGGGAGGATGACAATCTACTTTTGGCTCATACTGATGAGGACTGGGGTGAGTGTCTCCAGATAACACATGATATGCGGAAGAGATTGACCACAAGACGAGAAGTGGGCGGTATTTTAAGCCACCGCACTTAGACCAAGCTGAGGCCTTCGAGAAAGATAGAGAGGTTGAAAAACAGAAAGAGAAGTAGTTTGAGGAAGAGGCAGTGTTAAAGCAACTGAAGAAAATCCAAGTCGACATATCAATCTGGGGTCTTCTTATGGCCTCTCGAGTGCATCGACAAACTGTGCTGTTAGCAATGGACAAAGCTAAACTATTCATTGACACTACCCATGAATAGCTAGTAGGACTGGTTTTCCCAGGTGGTGCCGGGCCAACCCTAACCTTTTCTGATAAAGAATTGTCGCCGGAAGGCTCATCTCACAACAAACCCCTGTACATATCTGTTGAGTGCAGAGAAAAATGGGTACCGGTGGTGTTGGTCGACACCGGTTCGGTTTTCAATGTCTGTCCTTCCCTCATAGCTCATGCCATCAGTCTTAAACTAGCAGACTTCATGTCCATAGACAAAGTGATTTGCGTGTATGATAATACCAGTAGGGAGGTTATGGGCACGATACAAATCATAGTTCAAGTCGGCCAAGCTCAGTAGGACATCGAGTTCCATGTCCTGGATGTCCCGACCACCTTCAACTTACTGCTAAGGAGACCCTGGTCGCATCTGGTGAAAGTAGTCTCCTTTATCCTCCACCAAATGCTGAAATACCCTCATGGGAAGGGAATAGCGATTGTTTTCGAGAATTCTTCTATCCATCCCCCGCCAAAGGTAACTACACCAGTGCTAGAGATCGTTCATGGTGAGGAGGATATTTTCCTTTCATGGTTTACGCTTGTTGAGGCCCGAGTAGTGTAGACCATCTTGGTAGCAGATGAGGGCATGTATGTCAGCGCCCAGTCTATTTTCATAAACAAACTGCAACATATGCCAGGAATGGGGCTTGGAAGAAGTGGCCAAAAAGGTGTCATAACATTGGCAGATGAGTCGCATAATCCGCATACCTTTGGGCTGGGATATGTACCCACCAAAGACGATTGGGTCAGGAAAATGGAAGAGATGGTAGGCAAAGCCAGAGCCAAGCAGGTTGGGAAACACTACGAGCTCTTTTACAGGCCAATTCAGTGAACGCTCAATGGCTACTTTGTTCGGGAGGGTGAAGACTTCCCCTTTTGCGGCTTTCCCGAGCCCTGGATGAATTCTTTGAAATAGCGTGCCCACGACTTTGAAATCTTCTTCGACCTACAGTTGCAAGATAGTGTGTAGCTCAACTTTTTTGCCCTCATTTTCGGAAGTTTGAATATAAGCCTTATAGTTCGGACTCCCGAGGTTCTGAATCTAATCTCCCAAGTGCAATGTGAAAATAATAGACACCAAAGAATCCAAATTTGGTAAACCTTTTGGAAAATTGATTTTGAATCAAATTGCCAAAATTAGACTACTTTGCCAGATACAGAGTCGTCACCTAAATATTTTTGAAAAATATAGGAAACCCATGACTCGTGCTAAAGGCCACGTGTCCGTCATCACCAAGATTGTCTCGGCTCGGGAACTTAGGTACGAGAGGGGAAGGTCATGAATTGAGCACCCCACTCGCCTGATCAAAGATCGACCTCTACTAATTATGATATGATTTTTATCAACATTATATGCTCTTGTTCCGGTTTATTTAGGCTAGCATTTTACTATGTGATGCGCACACACACAAGTATAGACTAAAATTACAAGAATTGGAACATCTCAAGTTATTTTTGTTTTTGAAAATTGTTTCGAAATATGGACCACTTGAAAAAGTGATCGCATATAAACATTGCTCAAATTATTCCAATTCAAGCAATAAGCCTTCATACACAGGCATTCAAGCAGTTTAGTATTTAAGCAATTACCCTCATGGCAAGCATGCTAGACATGGCAACATCAACACTCATGCAATTTATGCTAAAGTGAATAAAAGCTCACCTAGTACTCCAAGCCAAAAAAGAAACAAAGTTAGAAAAATACATGTTCCTAACTTTATACGGTTATGGCTAATGCAACCCATGCGATATGCAACTAATAGGCTCGACTACTACACATGGCATATGAATCGATGTAATAGCATGTGGTCTAAACACGTGTTCAAAGAAGTATTGAAATGACAATACAGTTAGAATGATGAACCAAGCCTCGGTGCATGCAATACAAATGGATGCAAACATGAAGAATGCTAATTGAAACATGATGTCCCTAATCTAACCATCATAAGCAGATAAATAAAAGGGAGAAAGACGTGGGGTTGGAAGACATACACATTATCACATCATTTGATCCCTCATGTAGGAGGGTGCAAATCAATGTCCGAAATTCCAAATTAAGTTAACTATTACAAAATCGAATGAATGAATAATAATTAACTTAACTAAGCTAATTAACTACTTTATTACAACAATTGAATCAATTAACTATTCTAGTTACCTAACCAATTACAAAACGAATTTGAATAACTAATTAACTAACTAATTAGTCACAACACTTTACAAATTAACTAGCTACAAACCAATTAATTACAACAAGATTAATTTACATTCGACAAAATGTATAAGTGAAAATGGATAAAGGTTGCATGCACAACACCTGAGAGCTACTCTGTTTGACCAAGCCGCCTTTGTTTCACCTTTAGCCACTGCCTCTGTTTTCTGCAAAACTGCACTGCTGGCCACACATTGAGGGTCGGCCGTGCATCACTGATGGCTGGTCGGGCCTACAGATGGCTAGCCGTGCATAAATTTGGTGTAAAGCTCTGTTTTTGTGTTCTGAGGTGAACTAATGCAGACAGATTGTCCTTAAACTCTTTTTGTCCCTTTATTCCTCCTCTGTCATGGGAAAGCCTTGAGAGAATGTCGAAATTGAAAAAGGAGGGCTGGCTAACCCTTCACTTTTGAAACTTCAAAACATGATTTTTGGCCCTTTGAAAACTTTAAAAATCAGTGTAGATATCAAAGAAAAAGAGTAGAAAATGAAGGGTTTGAGCTATAGGTAAAGGTATAGAAAGAGTAACCTCTCTCTACCCTTTTGGTGGCTCTTCAAAC